TCTTCCTAGCTTCTGGCCCCTGAGTTTTGTTCTGCTGTTTTTTGAGAGCCTTCACTTGGCTTCTGAATTCTAACTAGAAGCCAATCATGTCCATATGGACTCTATTCCTTTCCTAAATTACATATTTATCATCTTGGATCCTTCATATGCCAATTTCTGTCTCCTTTCTTATGTTTTTCTGTCAGATAAGACTTGAATATCTAAATATTGTCAATAATTTAACTATTACACTGGTTTTATTTATTCTTAGGTGGTCTAGTTTTGTGTCCGATAGATGCAAAAACGGCCCAGAGCTTGTATTGCTTCCTCCATAGCCTCTTTTCCTGGCAGCAAGAAAAGGAGGGCTGAAGGCACGCTCTGCTTCCAACTCCCTCCCTTCTTAAAGCACCTCTGAAGGCTGCCGGAGCAGAGATGCTGTGGGCTGTAAGTGAGAGTGGGGAAAATGAGGGATTGTGTTGAGAAATGGGACTGTCCCCTCCGATGGGAAGGAAGGAGGGACAAAGTGCCACTCCACTCTTCAGCTTCCAGCATGAGAAGTTCACTGGATGAGCTCGTGTCTGCTCCGCAGCTCATGTGTGATTGGGACTGTGGAGAGAAGCAAGACAACTGTGTTGGGTTTTTTTTCCCCTTTGTACACAGAGTTCCCTGAAACTTCACCCAGAGAAGCATTACAGCAGTCATGTAGTGAAAAATGCAAATCGTATCAACTTGTGGCCCAAGTATGTTTTCTTTATGGCAAGTTTTATTATCTCCTCTTTTCATAGCTCTGAAGAAAGGCAGCAACCTGTCACTGTTGAGTTCATGTGGAGGTGGCTGGGGAGGATTTAGTGTGCTGGGTGGCCAGTGTAGATTTGCTGTGTTGAAGGAGTTCATTGGTTCTATAGTCTTGTGGTGAAGAAGAGAAAAACAAATTCTGGTAAGCCAAGTACTTTGGCCTTTCAGCACTGAGGGCTGAATCTTGCCCCCTGTTTAACTGCCAAGGAGATAAATTCTAATCCTGTGGTTATCATTCTCACTTGAAAGTCTGTTACATCTGTGATATTTTGATTGTATGATTACCACATATCTTAATTGTTTACCAAAAACTTGTGTGCAGTCACAGAAACTATGGGGCTTTGAGTTTGTCACTGGAGATGCACAGTTAATTTTTAGAATGGCAGCTGTAGCCTTTGTTCACATCTTCAAAAAGTGTCTTTAAGAATTACTCTTCTCAAATGGCAGTGGAGATACTTGGGTATCAAATGCTTTTAGTGACATGTAAAGTGGAGAAAAGTTCTTGTTTTCTGCCTCTTTTTTTCAGGATTTTTCACCCTGAAAGACATGAAATTACTGTGTATGTCAGAAGTAATATTTTCTTACAGTCTGTTTATACAAACAATAGATTGAGGTTTGTAGAAGATGGACATTTATACTAATTTCAAAATCTTGGTAATGCCCTTTATACTTGGGAGCTGTGACCACAGGATTTCATTACCAATTAGAAGAAAAAGTTCAGCTGCTTCCATTAAGGATATTGCCACTGCCTGGGAGGTGTGTGTTGGTATGCTCATCCCTGTGTCCATTTGCACACATAGAATTAATTACTCTGGTTTGCTATGGAAACCATTCTTCTCTATCGTATATAAATAAGGGCTAAGCATTTCTGGAAATTTAGAAAAGATGAAAGGAAGTGTAAAGAATGCTATAATTAAACTGTTCCTGAAATTTTGGCACAATTCTTAAGCTCAAATTTGAAATTGGGTGCTAACTGAAATGCAGCATGGTTCTTGGTTCTTAGGGACTCTCTCTTAATTCTTTCATTACCTTAGGAAGCGTGTTCTTAGACGCTAGCATGTTCTCAGATGTTGATGCTTTTCAAGAAACCTGATGCCTTGCTGTTTTCATGATACAATGCCTTTCACCTGCCTCTGTTTTCACTGGGATACGTATTCCTGCTATATTACAGAAATGAAGTAAGCCTCACCTGTTCATGTAAGATAAGAGTAAGTGATATATTGTAGGTGAAGTTAAGTTTTAAAACTTAAGTGAGCATGCTTTTGTATGCTGAAGTGTTAGGCTATAATCTGGAATAGTGTTTAGTTTTGCTTCCTAAAAATGTAAATTAGTGTCTTAGTTCAGGTCAACAAACATGAAACAATGTTACAAGTATTATACCTTACTGTATGGCCAAAATGATTGGGCATGAAGAGATGATTAAAATGAAAAGTATATACTGTAGAACATGACTCATTATGGTCAAAGCATACCAGTAAGGTAATGAAGAGGAAAAAAAAGTGTGAGTCAGGTATGCTGTCTAATTCAGATTCTTTGATAGTATAGTAATATGGCACTTTGACGTTATGCTTTGCAAATAACTGAACCTGATGGCTGTTCCTGTCAGGCATTTCTTTCACAGGTAGCAAAACTGAAGAGCTGATGTTCTAAGCAACTTTGTTTTCCTGCTTTTTGCTGCTAGCAGCTGAATAGGGAGCATAGAGTGAACAGACTTGATTCCCAGTTCCCAACTTGTCATCCTGACTCCAGTACAGAATCAAGATATTCTGATAATGTGGTGTTTGCCTCTCTGTTATGTTTCCTGTACTATGCTTGCTGATGTACACGGTCAGTGGTTTGCTTAATTGAGACAAGAGACAAGGCAAATTTTCAGATAAAAATTCAAATGAGAAATGTTGTAGATACCTATTATAATTATGAAGCAGATAGTCTGGTGTCTAAAGGTTTGTCCCAACTGTATCAGTTGGTCTAATTAAAATATGTAACTTCCACCTACCAGCCTTGCTTCTCTGAACCTTGAAATCATTTTGATTGCAACACAAAACTTCTGTCTGAGGTTTATGTTTGTAAATTCAGCATTGCTGCTGGAATATGCTGCATCTCCACAGGAGGGCTCTGCTGGCATAGCTATACTAGCACACACTCTGGGATGCTCGAGGGATTTTCGCCTACTCAGTTTCTTTTCCATTTCCCCAGTAGAAAAGCTGGATGCTGCCCTGTGGGCAGTACAGCAGAGCATCAGAAAGGTGGCTGTTGAGGGACTCCAAACTAGAAAGACAGAAATGCTCCTTTTGTGCCAGGCTTGTGTCTCTTTCCCCTAGCAAGAAGAGATTTGAGTGCTGCTGTTAACAAGTGCATTGAAAAAAGGCTTTAATTTCTTTTTTTGTGTGCATATAATAATTGTTAAAAGATTGTCAGTTACCTTTTTTTAATGGGTTGAACTGGGGAAAAAATATATTCTGTGGCAGTGGTACATCTGATGTCTGAGACAGTCCATAGAGCTATAATAAAGTTGAAATTCTATGGCTATATGGAAATAGAAGAGATAGAAATGTAAGGGAAGAACTTAAAAAGAGGAAAGCATACTAAGCTTGTAAAAAAAAAAAAAAAAAAAAGGAGGGGTGGGATTTTTTTGTGTGTTTTTGTGGGGGCCGGAGGTTGTTTGAGGGTTGGTGAGGTTTTTTTGGTTTTAATATTAAATCCAGCTGCCAAGGCCCAAGTGGCAAGAATCGGAACATTCTCCAGCGCATGCTATTGAATTAAAATGCCTGGAAACCATTAGTACCAACATGCGCTCTTTATATTGTTGGGACTTTATCCTGCGCAACAGCGGTGATGGTAGCACTGGTGGAGAGAAAAGCAGGAGACATTTGCTGTACTATGAAACTTAAGAATCCTGTTGGCCTTCCTAAGATGCTGAAGTTTCCTTTCTCCCAAGGGAGACTGAAGTGATAGTGACATCAAGACATGGTTTCAACTCTGTGACAAGCAGGAAATCCTGCCTAGTCTCTCAAAACTGTGGGATATAGATCTGTAGCCCTCCTGCAAAACTTCTGACTATTTATATTTACATACTCTTGGTGTGAGTTTATAATGTCAGGCAGCAGAAAGAAGGTCAGAAAAGAGTAATGTAGATAAAGTTGTAGTAATGCAAACCATGCTGCTATCTAGCTGGCACCTTATTCAGCTAAAATAAAACTTAGTGAGGATTTTTTGCTGGGTTTTTTTAAGTTATTTGGTTAGGATAGCAACATTCCCCAGGTTGGCTTTTAACCCTCACAGGATCACAGCATTCAGCATCAACTATCTGAATCATGAATGGGAGGAAAGGGAAATTGCTTGAAGGAAAATAATTTTTCTATTTAAAGTAAACAACCTCTAATGTGTAAAAACACACAAATAGGTTTGGGGGTAAGAAATTAAGGCATTAAGTAATTCTTCTTTTTCTTTGTTAGCTTTTTGGTCTGGAGAAGTACCAAACAAATCTTACAAATACTTTTTGACAAACGATAGGTTTAAATGCCTTAGTCTTGGCTCTTCTGCATTATACCCATCATGTGAACCATAGCAAATGAAGCTGGGGATTATAGTTTTCCTACATCTGAGTCACTGATAGTAACAATTTTTTAGGAAGTGTGCAGTCTTTGGACTATAAATAGTTTTTCCTTACCATTTTTGAAGTTGTTACCACACTACGAGCATGTTGCACATCAGGCTAAGTTTTGTGAGACCTTTAACTGCATACATCTTGCAAGAAGTGAAGCTGTCTTCTGAATCAAAGTTAAGTCTCAAGTTTGGATTGAAGTGCATCGTCATTAAGTGAAATGATATTTATTAATACCAAGCTAGCTGAAAAAAATGTGTGAAGCCCTTAGCATGTGTAAAATCGGAGACTTTAACACATCTTAAGTAAATGTAGCATAATACTTGTTGCACATATTTTCTGCTAATTTATAACAAAGAGTGACTCTGGTAAGAACTGTTGTGGACTCTTCTCTAAGAACTCACTCTGCAGAGGGCAAGATCCTTACTGTTTCTCAGTAGCTAGCAGCCTGTATTTGGTGCTTAAAAAGTCTTGTGATACTCTGACACTTAAATATTTTGTTGTAAGTGAAACTTTGTATTAGCTACATACTGTTTTCCATCTTAACTTATTTTTGTAATTTTGGAATCCTTTTCTTTAAAACAGTTAACAAAATTTGACATAATTTTTTTTTTTTATGTAGACAACATTGCTAAGTCGTCTGGAACGAATATTTGAAGTCTGTTTTCCTTCCATACCTGTTCTTGAAATTGAAGAAGAAATAAGTTCCTTGAATCATTTGTTGGAAGCAGGTGAAAAGCAGATGACAACTGAGGAGACCTTAGCAAATACTGGGTAAGAAGCCACAGTGCAACAAACTTAAAATGAAGTAGAAACGTGTGTTCTTTGGGAACTTAAAACATACAGCAGTAATTTAAAATGAGTTGTTTGCTTCAAGCGTTTTGAAGGAACTATCAAGTAAAAATTAGCTATCTAGCAGAACGTTTGTTTTCAGTGACTATGTACGCCAGGAGTATTTCACATAACATATCAACATAGTCAGCAGCATATCATCTTTGAAGTAATGTCTCTGAGTTAATCAGAATATCTCTTATTAGTTACAGTTGATATAAATGGCTATATTTATTCATGTGATGACGAAGTCTAAGTAGGCCTTGTCCTGTCTGCTGTGGACATCATTTTCCAATAAGAAGTCTGAACTATAATTGTTCTGAGAACACTGTGCAGTTTTAGTTCCCCTAGGTGTTGTGCTTAGGCATAAGTTTAATTGGAATGTATAATAAGTCACTTACGTTAAAAACTAGAATAAATATTCAAGGCTGCTAAGCTGTTACTCCTGTTGATAACTTGATTTATGATGGGTTGTACAGGGAACTGATGGATGTGTGGACAGAGCTGCAGGATATCCATGATGCGTATGGACTGAGATACCAGTGGGGTGGCTCCCACAGCAACAAAAAGCTTTTGTGCTCCTTGGGAATCGACACAAGAAATATTGTGAGTCTGTCAGTAAAAAGTGCTTTCTAAATAATGGAGCTGCTTTAAATTTACAATCGGGTGAAAGTCCTTTTGTGTGAATGCTTGTTTCTTAATTGCATAGCTGCACTGAACATGGATTTTCACGACAGACCATCTGACAACTTTTTGTAAGCCCTATTAATATTAAAAGTTGCATTAGTTTTTTAACCATTGTGTTATATTTAACATAGTATTTATTCTCTGATATTAATCTTATACAAGTTATATAACATTGAAAAAATATCATCACTGACACAGATAAGTAAATTTTTTTGTTGTTGTTTTATCAGCTCTTTACAGGCAACAAGAAACAGCCTGTTATAGTACCCATGTATGCAGCAGGACTGGTAAGCTTTTCTGAGTGTTATTTTTTGTTATAATTCCAACAACATTATATAATTAAATATATTAAATGATACTAAGCACCAAGTGTGCTGAAAGATACTTTTGCAAGTACGTTTATGGCTTAGGCATCAGTAGAAATGCTAGAAAAGAATCATCAAATAACAATTTTCATTACATGTGCAAGCAGATACTTTATTTTAAATGAAAAAAGTATTGATTTACTCATTTCATAAAGCAAGCTGTTTATCTAATATGGTGGGCTAGCTAGTCCAAGCTCAGTTTGAGGCATTTTTGAAAAAATAAGTAGTTGATTGAAGTAACGTATCAATGTGTATGCATCAATGAAAAGTTATTCTTGTTGAATTTAAACTATATAAAGTATAGATGTAAAAATGTCAACTAAAACACAAGAAACCACATTGTTAAATAGTTGTCAGAAATGACAAAGGAACATCGAAATGTACTCTGCTCTCGTGAGACCCCACTTTGGGTACTGCGTTCAGCTCTGGGGCCCCCCAACATAAGAAGGACACAGACCTGTTGGAGCAGGTCCAGAGGAGGGCCACAAAGATGATGGGGGGCTGGAGCACCTCTCCTATGAAGACAGGCTGAGAGAGTTGGGGCTGTTTGGCCTGGAGAAGAGGAGGCTCTGGGGAGATCTTATAGTGGCCTTCCAGTACCTAAAGGGGGCCTGCAGGAAAGATGGGGAGGATACTTTAACAGGGCATGTAGTGATAGGATGAGGGGTAACCGTTTTAAACTGAAAGAGGGTAGATTTAGGTTAGATATTGGGGAAACATTCTTTACTGTGAGAGTGGTGAGACACTGGAACATGTTGGCCAGAGAGGCTGTGGATGCCCCATCCCTGGCAGTGTTCAAGGCCAGGTTGGATGGGGCTTTGAGCAACCTGGTCTAGTGGAAGGTGTCCCTGCCTATAGCAGGGGAGTTGGACCTTTAAAGTCCCTTCCAACCCAAACCACTCTTATGATTCTGTGAAATTAATCAAAACATCAGTTTGCATCAGCACTTGTGGGAAGCCTGGCAGTAAGACCAGATGCTCTAAAGGAAAATTAAGAACTGCTAGATAGTTATAGTATTCCATGAAATGTGTGTAGGAAGTTTTCTCGGCTCTCTTGAGCATTTGTCTTTGTGCAACTCTTTCTCTGACAGACTAGATTGCATCTCAATATCTGTAGGTCAAGAGAGATGCATGGTAATGCTTTGCAGTGTTATTGGCATAATAATAAAGGACCCACATATATATATATTAGGCTATTTATGCATACAAAAAGCATTGTATAGCCAGTATTATTGTCTTGCTCCAAGTGCTAGATAAAAATAACAAGCATAATTTAGATTTCTGGAGATTGAAGGAAAATCAAGTAACCTAGTGCAGCAAGATCAACTGTTTTCACTTAAGCCAGTATTCTGTAATTCCTGTTTTCAGACAGGATTTCAGGCATTTCAGACTCTGTGTGATGTCTGTAGTAGTAAAAACATTCAGAAGGTAAGATTTGCCATTTTTGCTAGTCTGAGCAGAATAAATATGTTCTTTTTTCTGGAAACCTAAGTGAGTATATATGCATACAAACACACATATGCTTTTATATGGTCATTCACAAATTGAATATAAAAGGATTACAGTTTTCTTTGGTATATATTAAGCCAATTTAATCTGTAGGTTAATTTCGTAGAGTGACTTTTACAGTCACTTTCCAGAGCTGTTGTTTTCTGATACATCAAGGTCAGCTCATGCACTTCTCTGGATGTAAGCATGGTATTCTGATACAAAGAGGGTGAACATCTCATAGTAATGGCTGTTTTCTTCCTGTAACATACTTGTGAGCAAGACTACGTTTGTATGCAACCCATGCAGTTATTTTTTGCAACAGATTGTTGTTGCTGATTAATTATCTTCTAAATTTTTTACATACTTGTGTACACAATAAGCTGGATAGAGATGATGGTAGGAGTAAAGTGGCTTGATGCTTTCTGTTGTCACACTGCTTCATGTGTTTCTCTGCTGTCCAAAAGAATTGATTTCACTGTGGTTAAATTCTAAGCTCCCCTAACATGGTGTAGAAACATTTGTGGGACAGCTGATCTTGGTGGCTGACTTCCTGAAGTTGTTTTAAAATACACTAGTTGCAAATCCAATAGCTTTATTTGGGGGTTTCTTTTCTCATACCTCATTGTTCTGAGGTTGTTTGCATGTCTCAGTGCAAACTTTGCTCTTTCTTTAGATCTCTTTCTCACCCTCAATTTTATTTAGGAACACTAGAGGTTTCAGATGTTTTTCATAGTACAGTCTATCTTTGAACAGTTTGTTTAAAATTAAAAATGTGGTTTTAATTATTTTCTTAATGCTTTTTAATGCATCTATTTCCATGTCAATAATTATTGTTCTTGGTATCATTCTGCAAACTAATAATTTGACTTGATTCTTCTGAATTACTTAATTGTTGAAATGGAATGAATGCACTCGTACCTTTCTGATGGGCCGTTTGGTATTTCTGGAATAGTCTACACACAATTGGGAGGAGAAGTTGTCACCTTATCAAGTAAATGTTTTCTCCAGCTTAAATTACATTATTGAAAGTTGAAAGCAAGCTCTAGCTAAGCCCTTGCTTTTCTGTTATTGGCTCTAAAATGTTTCTTAGGCCTAAGGAACCAGGATGATTCTTTCCCCTACCCCATCTCCTGCCCCTGTCGCTGAAAGTGTCCCAGAGGTGTATGGTTACCCTCAAGTCCCTAGTTGAGGGTAGTACTACTTAGTAGTGTGTTTTCTAATTTTTTGCATCTGCAGTTCTTGGAATATATATATATATATATGTGTGTGATTTTTAATTTATTTCTTTACTTATTTAGGGTATGTTAGAGCCTACCAAGGAACCTTTGAAACCAATATCTGCAGCAGAAAAAATAGCTTCAATAGGACAGACACCTCCTGTATCACCAGAGATGAACACATGTACATCTGATCAGTTCCAGGTAAAAAACAGAGAAAGGAAGAGGAGGAGAGGAAAAGAAAGAATGAGGGAAACAATGGGATGCCTTGCCTCTTCCTTCATATTTAAAATATGTAGATGGTGTGTTCAAAGAGATCTGTATATCAAGGGCAGGTGTTCCTTGTGTCAGATTGAAGTCCTGCCCTTGGATCTACTTTTCATGTGTGACTGGAATGGAGTCCCTATGATAAGACTGTAGCAGTTGGTGGCCAGCATTTAAGAGTCCTGATGATATTTGCTGTTCTACAGCAGTTTGCTTTAAAAGGCAGTGGACAGTTAATTCCACAAATTTTAGATGTAACTTAACAGCTGTCCTTCCTCTGGCTAACATTTTTCATCTTTGCTTTTTCTGAAGCTTGTTGTAGGAGTCTTGATACAAAATGAGTTCAGAGGAGTTTAGGAGTGATCCTCTGAGTTCCATGAATTCTGTTTTGTTGTTGTTTTGATATTAAAATATTAGAAAACCACGTTACTGCCATGCATGTTGCAATGTGTGTCACTGGCAACTAGCTAATGGGATATGCAGAGACATCTCATTTTCAGCATCACTACAGTGGTACTTTACCCATATTCAGAGAATCAGCTGTGTCTCTCCTTAGTGCAGGTCTTGTTTAATCTGCCCAGCATCTTTAGTTACCTGCTATGCTTGTGACTTCTGACTGAAGGCATTCCAAAATGAATTATCCTTATGCTACACCTGACCTTAACACTATGTACTTCTGATTATAGTGATTTCCTTGTGCTTTTTGCTCTGCCATAGTGCAGAGCTCTAAATGAAATTTTTTTTCATTGTAGAATAGCAGTATGTCAGTGGGCTTAGAACTGAGGCTATTTTCTATAGTAGTATATATGTTTGGTGACACTTCCTATGCTGCTTCTCACAAATACTATAGTGGAACTAAACAGCTGAACTGGCTATTAGAAAAGGTAACAATAATGGTTATTGCAGCCAGTCTGAGCTGAAGAAATCGCTGGTGTGATTTATATATATGAACAAAGTAGGAAAATTTCACTGGCTTTCTGCAGCATTCAAAGTTCCATTTTTTACAGAGGGGAAAACGTAGATTAAACCATATGCTAAACATAGTGTAGAGAGCTGCAAGAGCCTGAAGTAGCAGCATCTCTGAAGTGCCATTTTCTCAGTTGCTTGGCAGTCGTAGTGCTGAGTGCTGAAAATAAGAACCTCTACTTACCAAAGTCTCTTTTTTTATCTCTTAATTATGAATTTGTATTTTTGGGTACTCCTGCAGCAGAATTTCCCATTACTTGTCACTGTTTGATAATCCTGTCCCACAGCTTGTTCTGACAAGGCCATCTCAGTTCAATAGTTGTGGTCCATGAATACTTACAAGAAGCTTCTGTGCTATCTGTCTGCACTGCTGGCCTTAGGTTATTTTTTTCCAAAAAGACAAACACTAAAATAAGCTTTTGGGGAATAGATGAGTTAGAGCTCTAACCATTAAGAATGCTAAGAGGCCACAGTTAAGTGACATTCAGAAAGATTCAGGGCATGAACAATCAATTCTCCACCTCAGAGACCATGCTTCATTCTTGGCCTCGTCTTCTGTTAATGTTTGGTGGCTTCTGTTTGCTTTGGGGAAAATCCAGTTTCATTTCACTTGTGCAGGCTGCCTCTTAGGAATATTCCAGATTGTGGTAGTATTAAGAGGATATGCCCAAACTTTGGTAAACATTTCATTAGGAACTGTGCTATAAACATTGGTAAATATGCAGTGGAAATATAGGCAATTTTAGTGGACCCTGAGACTTCTTATTCTAAACACAGGTAATTTAGGTGCGACAATTTAGGTATTTTTAAGCTTACCCAGTTAATGTGTAAATATTTAGTTAAAACTTCTAATTTCCTCCATTATCAGATAGCGATGATAATGGGTCATTCTTATATTCAGAAACTTTGGAATATTGGCTTTCTTACTGGAAGGAGAGGCTCTGGTTAATAGATTCCTATGCTTTGCTTAAGGAAAAGAGAAGAGTTCTCCTTTGTTCAAAGACTGGCATTTATGGGACTTGTATACAGATCAGTGTCTGTGCATATATGTGCATGACTTCCTGCTGAGGGAGTAAGACTGCTGATGCAAAAGTAGGAGTGGAAGGAACATTTGTAGAAACACAGAAATGCCTCCTAAGTTTTTTGGTTGTAGGTGAACAGAGGAAAGCGTGCAGAGATTTAAAATAGAGACCATTAGGAATCAAAAGAATGAAGAAAAAAGCAGCAAATAAGCTGCAATTTTTCCTAGTTATTATATCAACTCTGTATGTTTTGGCCTCCTTCCCTGCAGAGGGTCTCACTGGGTTGGTTAGACTGTGGAAATACAGTGGACAAATTTCCATCTGAGCCATTTAAGCTGTAAGGACAAGGTTTTTGAAATTAAGGTATTTCCTCTCAAGCAAGTTAAGTTACTGACTGATCTATCACATTAGTATGTCATATAAAGATGACTTTTGTAGACTTGTTCTGTTTTATATTTGAAGGTAGCGTCTAAATTCTTCTTTGATCTGTTGTTTATCTTGACAATTGGAGGGTTTATTTCTCTGTTCCTCTGTGCTCATAACTGTAAGGCAGTAAACAGAATATGAAATAATCCCCTGATTACTGTTGCCTTTATCTAAGCATGGTGTCTCAAAGATTTCGCAGGTCTGAAGTAAAAGGCTCTGTCAAGGCACATCAGGTGTAAGAAAGAGTGGCTGCTCAAATAGGCAACCTTGATTGTGAAACCTGAGACAGGTACCCTTCTTTCCTTACAGCATCTGCTATAGCGGGCTTCTACACCATAGCCAAGTCTTCAGGCAATGCAATTAAAATATATTCCAGTGCTTGTTTAAAAAGGTTGCTGTCTGGACTTAATGTTGATTGCTTTCTCTTGGTTTGATATTGCTCTCTGGTTAATGTTGTTTTAAAGTTTATTTACCTGCTTCTCTTTGGCTTTCTTGAAAAAAGTTATCTAGCTATTTCTGCTCTTTCACTATTGCTTCAAAGCATCCTCTCCTCTCTATTTGGGACTACATTTCTTTGGTAGAGTCTAATGATAGCTTTGTCTCAGCATACAGGATAACTTTGGGATTTCTTACCTGCCTAGTTTTGCTTAAGTTTTATATAGGAATAGAAGTCCACAGTGACCCAGACCTTTCTAGAAGAAAATTACCAGCAGTTCTTTTCTGTGGGTGCCTATTACAGCACATCTGCATGCATGTAAACCACTGAATTATAGATCAGGTTATAACAGAAATATGTATCCTATACTTGCTGGCTATTAGGGACTGAACCTTAATTAAACCCCATGGGGCAACAGTCTTTAAAAACACTTTTAATTACATAAGGGACCATCAGGACTTCTAGCAATGACAGATGTAAACTACCGTATTATTGGCCACCAGCCAAAGGCTCCATCATGGAACTGCTCTCCAGTTATACATATGAGAAAGATCCAAGAATACATGTAGCTTTATCGACAGAGTAAGAGAGAAAGATTTGTGGGTAAGAGATACTACAGAGCTTGCTATTCTATCAGATGTGGCAGTCGCTTAAAGGTGATGTCTGAGAAGAATAATTTTCAGAACTGTTGTAATTTTGCCAATGAATATACACAATGAAATGTATGGATTACTTCCTTGTAAACATTTTCCTGAAATGTTTATGATGCTCATTTGTGGGATCTATCTAAATATTGATATATTTGTATTAGAAGCCCTTCTATTTTCTTCCCCCAGCTTTAAGACAGCATGATACTTCCTTTTTTTTTTCTTTGTTTAATTTTCCTTGGGTAACAGTTGGCACAGACACAAACATTTACATTTTACTCTTGGATTATAAAAGCTCTTACATAATACCATTCTAAAATTACTGTGTGAAAACATTTCTCACTTCTGTCAAAGTGAAATACGATGCAGTAGAACCAGCAAGTATATTAGTTTCCTCTTTCTCACTTCCTTAACATTCAGAGTATTATTCTGACAGCTGAGTATACTTTTTCATTTCTGTACTGTGTCCTCTAATTTAAGATGGAAGAAGAAGTGAGAGCAGTTTGCCCCAATTTTCAATATTCTTCTAGACTGGGTGCTTTTCCTTAAAGCATGTTATTAAAATAATGGTTGTAAATGCAGTAGTCTAGCAACCTCACAATCACCGAAAGACAAAACATTATATTCCCATTTGCAGGGCATGTTCCTGTTGTCTGAGATTTCAATGCTGTGTTCAGGTGTCCCAGTATAGTTAGTTTTCTAAGGGCCAAGGTCACTAGAAACAAAAAACTTTTCCTTTCTGTTTAATTGGCTTTTGCCTCTGTCCTCTCCTTTAACTTTGTTTGCTGTTGTACAGACCAGGGCTTGCCAGTGTCCTGTATAGATGGGATCTGCTTTACTTGCCACCCCCTTCTTTTGCAAGTGGTTGAAGTCAGCAGAAATGGCCTCATGCTGCAGAGCAGACTAGTATACTTAGTATACTCTTACTGATTTGGAGTCAGATTTTTTTTTTTTTTCCATTTTAGGAAGACTTCATCACATCCTTTCTCCTTTCCTTGGCAAATTTGAGAATCAAGTCATGATTAAAGGGAAAAGCTTAGCAAGCCATTGGTACCACCTTTTCAATGCAATTCTGTCACACTCATCAGTCCTGACTTGGTCTTTTGACACAAAATGTAGTGGGTGTTTTCCTTAGTAAGTGAAAGTTGGTAGGAAGCTACTTTGTTTCAATTTGAGTGCATTTTCCTCAGAGCAGAAAGCTATTAAATTGTTATACTCGCCTGTTTTTTTATTTTGTACAACACCCTTTTAATATACTTTAGATGTGACTAACTTTGAACAGGCTACTGATGATAGTGATCATTACTTCATCAGGTGTTAGCTCCACACTGCTAACACTGTTTCCATGCAAATAATTTCAATGCCAGTAATTTCATTACCAAAGCAAAGTAAAAAGCGTAGCATCAGCTCCGTAAGCTCTGTGGAGTGAGTACTGTTCTAGTTGTCTTCAGTACTGGAAATATTTCCAAGTCATTAAGTAGGAAAAATTTTTCTAGGCAAGGCATTTACTATAAGTAAATACAGAAGTCTCCAGCTCCCTTCATTTTTTTTTCTGTAAACATCTATCAACTAGCAAAAGCCTCTTAGAGTTAGCGTAATCGTACAAAGCTAGCTCAGGTTGCTGCCGTCTTGATTTGTGAATCTGCATATTTTTTCTGTGTTGGATAGTTGAAAGTTTTAAAAGTTTTAAAAAAAAAAACCAAAAAAACCCCAAAAAACCCAAAAAAACCCCAGTGCCTGACTTTCTACAAAAGCAGAGAGAAGGTATGTCTCAGCCACTGGAAGCTTGACAACTAGTGATGCATTTTGAATAACGCTGCAGAGAACTTCCATTGCTTTTCTTCCATAAGCATGATGGTTCTATTATAAGTCGAGGGCACATCCTTTCCCAGTACTTCTTGACAGTTGATCTCACTGAGGAGAGAGCAGAAAGTAATGCACAGAAGTAGAAAGATCAACTTATTTCAGACATTTCTGATACTGTCCCATCAGTTTGCATCCTGACAATACAGGAGGACAGCACTTGCAAGTTACACTGCACCTGAACACACTTTCCCTGTAAAGCATGGTCCCTGCTGCTTGCTTGATTTACCTGTGTGTGTGCTAAAAGACTTAACAAGAGGAAATGAAAAGGCAGGAATGAGCTCCCAGAAGGAGTCAACATTTCCATGCTCCTCTTGTTTAAGCATTGTTACCAATGCTTTGTTTATATATTGAATGAGTTAATTGTTAAAGGATAATAAGTCACAGAATTATTTTTTTAAAGGGGGTGGAGTGAGGAGGGTGTTGATAGTTTGTCCCTCACATGGTGGGATTGTCTCTCAAAAGCAAAACAAACCAAAAGAATCATGGGTTGTTTGATGGTAAATAACTGATTTTATATATAATCAGGACAAAGGATGGAGACAGACAGCTTTCACTGATAACCCTATTCAGAATTTTTCCTATAATTGTGTATACATAACTTTTTATGCAAAATGCCTCATCTTCCATGAAAGTAATAGTAGTTTAACTTTCAGCTATGCCTTAAGGTGTTTTATCCAATTGATATGTTTTATTTAATTTGCAAATGCTGTTTGAGTTAGAAGTTACCTAATCTGTACTGTTCAGAATTTAATGAGACTTCCTGTGGTAGAACAAATCTACTTGGAATCTTTAGTTCATATTATGAAAATACACGCCTCCCAAAAGTTGGGGCTTGCTCATTTAGTTTTCTTTTTAGTATTTAGACACTAAAGAATCTGTTGTTTGAACTGCTTTGCATTGTTGTAACCTGAACTGACTATAAAATCTGATTTCTGACTTTTCAACTCTAGGAATCTCTACCACCTGTCCAGTTTGACTGGAGTAGCAGTGGCCTTACTAACCCTTTAGATGGTACGTCTCTCCGTAGAGCCTCTAGCACCAGAGCTAGAGATAAGAAAGCTACAAAGTTCAGACAAACATCTATCTGCTGATTATTTTTTTAAATATATACACATACACATATATATAAATATATATAATATTTATTTCTTACTCCTAACTTTGGAAATTCAGGCTTTCTTTCTGATTATCTGTGCCCCTACGTGAAGTATTATGTAGTCTGAAAAACACTAAGTATTAGATTCCTGCCATATGCTAGTGACACAGTGGCAATATTAACACTTCATTATGTATAACTGCACATTACAATGAAACTGAACACATGAGCGTTTTAGATTGATGAGTTTTACTTCTGAAGAGTATTTTTCACCAATGAACTATCTCTTTAGACATCCTTTGAATGACAAACTTGTGTATAGTGGCTACTTCAAAGCACAATATTTTAACCACAAACTATTTGCAAAAGATACACTTCTTGAGCTGAAAGTTTTCAGATTTACAGATAATTTTATATTTCAAAAATGTGACTTCATCTGTTATCACTTTTGCTTACACTCAAGAGCTAATTGTAGCTAATATATTAAAGAGGTAGCTACGAACTTATTTGTATCTGTAAATGTATATAGTTATCACACAGAAGACCCTTCACCTATGTCTATTTTAATAGCAAAGTGAGTTGTGCCACCGCCTCCACTTTCAGAAATGTAAGTGCATGCAAAGGAAATAAAACAAGTTTTGGAAACTTGTTTGATTGACAGACTAGAAGCCTGTAAGGAAACTGATAGGTTTGAGAGGCCTGCTAACAGCAGTTAATTCATGACACCTAAGTTGTTCAAAAGCAGGCTAAAATAAACTGCATCTCTTACTGCACTGGTGTTGCCTCACACTGTTGTTTCAGAACATGTGGGATGTAAGAGTTTGGATAGCAATATCATGGTGCTGAAGGAAAGCCTGGATGGACCCTTTTGCTGTTGTCTGGTGTCTTATTACTTCAGTCAATCATCATGCTTTCTTTTTAACAAACAACTTCTTTAAAATGTATCTTGGTTTGATTTCTGGTTTAGTACTAAAGGGGAACAGTATAACTTACCAGTGAGGAACTGGATATAAGAGTGGCATTTGTTACCCTGTGTTCACACTGCTTTAAGATAATGATAATTAATAGCTTAAAGCTGCTAAATAAAACTTTAAAGATTTTTTTGGTTCTTTGCTATTTGGGGATCTGTTAAGTCTTCCTGATAAAAGAATGGCTTTCAATTTCAGTGAGGGGAGAAAAAGCCCACTATATTCTATCAATTGACCTATATATTGTTTCCCTTTAACTGATCACATCTTTCTCTCTGGGTCGTGCTGGTTCTCTTTCATTTTTTAGATTGAAATAAATATTTCTATTTTAAAGTTACTAGTGTTGATTTTCTTGCTGCATTGTACATGAGGAAATGTGCACTCAATTAAGTTGTTAACATTTTAGAAGGTACAAACTAATACTGTAAGCATTGTTTTCATGTCAATTTTTAAATTGCGTACTGAGTACTAATTATAACTTGCATGTTCAAGTGTGTGTCTTACCCCTTTTTACACATAAACCCCTCCCTTGGCTTACCTTCTATATGGCTGCCTACCAACACGGTCACTGAATTTCAAGCTAGTGGAGGTTCCACTCTTCTGAACCTTGATTTCTTTGGGCCCGTGGATGACAGTAGCTCTAGCAGCACCACCACAATCCCAGGTCAGCAGAGTGTTAAAACCACAACTGTAGTATTATAACGACTTACTAAAAGCATGAGCACATCACTCGACTTTCCTATAAACAAGGAGAAATTTTACATTGCATTTCTCTAAAATGTCTTTCTACTGCATTTTTCCTTTTAATCTGTGTTCTGTTTTCTGATGTTTTGTATCAAGTGCGAAGTATTTAAAAGGTACTGTCAGCTCTGTATTTGTCACACGCTGAAGGAATGAATGGCTCTTACGCTCTTGCAAATAAGATGTTAAAACACTTGTTTCAAATGAGAAATTTGCAAAGTTAACTTTTCTAAACACTTAAGAAAAATTGAAAATGCTGTAGATGTGATGATTCCCAAAAAGTGAGGTGTGTCTTCTGAGTGAGTGCCTCCAAATTATAGGATTGTGATGTTATTTGAAAGTTATATGTGAATATAAAGTTATGGGACTTAACAATCACATCCCTGCTGGGATTTGTGGCTACCAGCAGTTTGTAAATTTTTTCTTTGTGTGAGCTACTAGTATTAATGATAAAGTGAAAAAAGTGTTTTAACAACATTCATAATAGAAAAAAAGGATAGTTGCATGTTTGTGGGACATAAGAAGTTCATGAACATTAATTATAAAACCAAAGCACTTTATCTGCAACTTACTCCCTTAAAAAGGAGATGAAAACACCACTCTCTCTACTGAAAAATATGTGAAAGCAGTTGAATTCATTTATCACATGGTTTTGACATGCTCTGAGTATTTTGCGCAAACTTGTGAAAACCTACACTTTGAATAAATTTCTGCAGGAATTTAAGGGAACATTTTGGGGATTTATCCCAGTGCATAGGTTAAGTAGATAAGGCAAATACTCTTTCAGTACAATGCCTGAAGCCATGATAATCACTTTCTTCATAGGAAGGAATTTTTTCCTCTTAGTGATTATAATTCAAAAAAAATCAATTTTTAAGAGGTTTGGGGTTTCCCCACATTTTAAATAAGTGCTTGTAATTATTATTGTGGTTTTGTTTTCAAAAACCTGCTTTTTTAGTTTTGAAATCTGATCATTGAAGGCAATTTTGTGGCATCACATTTCAAATGTCTTTTTATTCCACCCTTGAGAGATGTCATTATCAGATGAAAGATGGCAGGTTTGTCGTGGACGTGATAGGTAGCGAATTCAAGATGCTTGAGTCTTACAGATTCTTTTGTAAATGTGTGTAAGTCTATAGACATAAGTCAACAGTACCCAGTACGTGTACTGCTCGTGCAGTTGGGTACCTTCTTGTGTCCTGATGGTGTGCACACTTGAAGTGATTACTGGAGGGATACTCTGTTAGCCTCTTATTGCATTATTTTTTTTTATGTTGCTGTTGTTGTTTCATCAAGTTACAGGTATTATCATCTTCCCTGGTACACACTATAGTGCCTATTTTGTTTTTTTTGTTTTGTTTTGGCTCTTGTTTCCTCCTCACTTGTTTCTGGGAAAGTCATTTGTTTCTTGGCTTGCAGCTCGTGTGTTTGTGTGTGTGTTTAGGAGCTTTGTGTGGGGTTTGGTTGGCTAACTTTCCTTCAATATCTCATTAAGGTTTTGCAGTGCTTTCCTTTAACATTCTCTAATCATTTGAATAAAATGGAAAATATGCAACTCTAAAATAATAAAATAATTGAAAGACAAATTATTAGATCTTTCGGCTTAAAGGAGATACTTTTATCAGTAGAAGTTTGTTCTTTCTCTGAAGACCTTAGTTTTGCTCACTATAGATCTATACTATATTCTTCTCAGTCTTTCATCAGTAGCCAATATAACTTTTTAATACAAATTTGCGTTCTACATTGTGAACAGGGAGTTACTCATTTCTAGTATGTTCCCACAGATTTAGTGTATTGTTTTAGTTTTCATGTTAATAGTTTAACATAAGTGTAGCTGAGCAAGAGGTGCCAAAAGAACAGTAAATTGAGCAGTGACATCACACTACAATGAAAATTAATTCAGGACCATAAATGTGAATATCTAAATGATGTAACTTAAAAGGTTGCATTTAACGTTTCTTGCAGAGTTGCATGTCAAAGGACTCCTTATTTCAATTAGTTTTACAATTTGTACCTTAATGGGATTTCGCAGGCTTCTGCAAGTCAAAGTGTATTTCTTCAAGTCTTCTCCCTGATTAAAAGTGGATATTCTATGGAATAGTTGGGCTTTTTCCTATTTCCAAGTTCTGTAAACATCTGACAATACTTAAAGTCTTGGTATACTGGTCTCAGGACAGTACATATTTTAGTGTTTTGCATGAAACTGGATGAAATTAACTTTGAAAATCCAGACTTTAAAAAAATGTATGTTGAAGGACAGCTGATTGATTTTTTTAATCAACTCATTAAATGGAGCAAATTTTCCCCCTGCCCCCCCCCCACCCCCCCCCGCAGCTTAACCAGATGATTCTCTTAATTTTACTTTTTGATCAGCTTAGTTTCCTAACAATGAAAGAGTACTTGTGCGCAAAAGATGAGTGGCCAAGACACTGCTTGGGGAGAGTTCATGCAAAGCAGGCATGAGGTTTATTAACATCATCTGTTTGTGCACATAGTACTGCAATTACTGGGTGGAAAAGACAGGACAATAGGCACAGGCATTTTTTTATTTAGTAATCTTTCAGTATTTCAGGAGTACTTCTAATAGTGTCTTGATCCAGGCAAGTAAACAGGGTAAAATAATCAGCACATCAGTTCATAAACGCTGTTTTTGTATTAGGTATAGCTACATGGGGCCATCGTGCCCAAGTATTTCCAGTGTTTGTTCTGCAGTAGTAAGAAATGCTTCTGTGTTGTCCAAACCAGCTAGCACTTAGTGTTACACTTGTTTAGAACGCAGGTGTCTATAAAACACGATGCTTCTGTTTTTGAATTCTACGCTGTTTTTGAAAAATATTTGTAATTGTGGGTGGTACATATGCACTTCGTTTAAACCCATGAAGCATAAAATAGCTGAAACTGTAACTAGAGGAATATCACCAATTTAAAATGCTTCTGAGCAACAAAATGTGTTGTAACAGTCTTTCCTCTTGATTTATTTTCATAATCCTAATTCCTAGAGACTTTTTTAACGGAAATGTACTTAATATCTGGAAATTCTAGAGCTACTTCCTACTGAGATGTGCTGCTTGATACTAAACATGTAGAATTTCACCGATACGTATGTTATTTTTTTGGATGCAGGTTTCCATTGTTTGCATTGTTTTCAGGATTACCTTTGCTGATAAAATTTGAAATCCATTCACAACGTATGTGATGTCAAAATTCAGCATCTGACTTAAGATATCCGAAACTAGGAAATCAAGGCTGAAACATCTAGATACTTGATGCTTTGTGAATACCTGAAAAGGGAGCATAACCTAAAAGTTTTGGTAGTGTTACACATATTAGTATGTAACTTTTTTAATGCCATTCCACTTGTATGTATCATGAAAGCTGCTTTTCCTCACTTAAAAAATTTTTAACACAACCTCTTGTGAAAAACAAGATACTAAATGTACTCTAATGCATACGTGTTGTGTGTAATCTCTCATTAAAGAGTTGGTCCCTGTTAACATGCAGCATTCTTTTAATACAAACAGTTGAGTTGAAGTAACTGAAACACACTCCATTTTAACACAGCTGACATCTTTACAGGTGTTTCACTCTAAAAGGTAAATCAAATTTGTTTTGTTTACTCTTAGACTGAGACCTTGTATGCCAGACTTGATCCTAATGTGTGTGTGTTTTATAGTTGTAGTACAACTATAAAAGCTGTTGAAAAAGAGTGGGGAGAGAGGATGGTGTTTCAGAAATGCAGACATGTTCTGTCGTGTTCTTTTCAAGTATCTTGAAATTATAAATGATTCAGATGTTTACAGAAAACAGTCTCTAGCAAGTTGGTGTGTGGCTTATTATGGCTATACTTGCCTCCAACCATCACTGATTATCATTTTATACTGTAAGGTGTGGATCCTGAGTTGTATGAATTGACAACCTCAAAACTGGAAACTTCCAATGCAAGCAACAGAGTGACTGATGCATTTGCAAGACTCATGTCCACAGTGGAGAAGGCAAGCACGTCCACAAGGTAAATACTCTTTGTTATGCTTTTTTCTTCTATTTCTAAGGGTGGCATGAAATTTGAGGAGTGAATGTGTGTGCTATTTTAGATCAGAAGTTCTTGAATGATCGAAAGTCTTAAATTTAATAATCAAATTTAAATATGAAATTCATAGTACTGTAGTTTGTATTTCAAATTATCATTGAACTCTAAAATAAGATGGGAAACAGTACATGAGCTGAAAGAAAAAGGTCACCAGGACATAAGTTGAAAAGCTAGTGCCAAACACTGAACTGGAGGAAGCAACTTTCTGAAGAACAGAGCTTGATTCCTAAGATTGGAAGGGTAAACTGAACCACACAGTTCAGTGACCTAGGACTTTGACAGAAGATTCTCCTCGGTCCTCCATGTAACTTATAGGTGCGGAATGTTCCACAAGTAAAATTATTAAACTGACTAATAATTATGACAATATTTGTCCCTTCCCATATATTTCTAGCACCTGTCAAAACTTCAGTGACCAAACATCAGATTCATTTTGCTGTTGCAAGTTAAGGAACGAGCATGTAGTTGGTTTAGGATGTCCTTTCTGCTTCATGGATCTCATGTGAAGTAGTTCTGTACTTTTTTTACAGGTAGAACCTGTATAAAGGCTTTAGGTGTCAAATGTCTTCCTTGAAGTCTGGCCTGTTGAATGAGTACAGAATAGGGTCTCCATTTATAAGCTTGTATTCTCTGGGTTTATTTTTTGAATCTGTATCTAAGCAGTAGGATCATGGACTGTCTTAACGTGTAATTAGTGTCTGTGCCCATTAAAAGAATTGCTGAGTGATTCTCCCCAAGTAAAATGTTTCTATTGTTTAGGAAGTGCACGCCTCAACACGCAACAAATATTAGCAACTAATAGATAGCAACATATCCTCACTCATAAGTGAGCTTTAGGGTTTATTCAGCACTCTAAAACTAGATGCATTTCCATGCAACATAGCACTTAAAAAGGAGCCGCGGTTGAAGAGTTGTGGCAAATGTAGTGATTTGTAATGGTGGGAGACAGTTGGCTTTCTTAAAATGACTAAAACTATAATTTTCAAGAGCTCTTTTAAAACATGTTCTTTCATTGAGAAAACTATCTTACTAGTTTTCCCGCAGTGAAAATGTTCAAAGTGAACACTGAATAAAAAAGATCAACAAGCCGTGAAATTTCAAGGGAGAACCGGTAGAGGGAACTCCACACTTCAATGCTGATTTTTGTGTCTCAGCTTTTGGATTGCCTATTTTTCTACCCATGGAGTGCATATACTCCTTCTGAAGATACACTAGTGTGAAAGTTTGACTCTCACTAATTAGAAAACATAGTTGCAGTTGAAATATTTTTGCAATCTATTCTAAGTCTAATTTAAAAGTAACCACAAATTCACAGCAGGACATACAAACTCCAAATGTATTTTATTAATTATTGTATCTCCACTCATAGATTCATAACTGCTTGTTTGCTGTAAGATGTCTTAGCTTACTTTTTCTTTACTAAGAACGGGGAAGTCTACTTCGCTTAAGTTAATGTTGACCTTCATTTTTCTGTATTGTTTTGTTTTGATATGAGGGGTTTGGGTTTTTTTCCAATGCTTCCACAATGCACTTGAAAGCTCATATTTGCACTGTTAAAGCTCTTTATCCAGATATCAAAGTTCTTCCCCTGTTCTGGAGAGCATTGCTTATGAGTAGGAAGAGGTTCTAGATCTGTGCTGTAGCAATATATCAGGCTGTAGAGAGAGGCTGGGCATGTTACACTTGGTGGTTAAGTTCAGACACACACAAGGATTTGCTGTTTTAAAGCAGCTGTTTTCAGTGTTCAATACATTTTATATGTTTCTGTCAACTCTGAATTTTAAAGATTTCAAGTGTTTTATGATTTCATAGTCTGCAAAAGAAAAGCAGTCTGGTTTTCTGTTTTCCAAGCTAGAAACCTTCAGAGAAATAAGAATGTCTTATCTCAGCAGTATGCCAATATGTTGCAGTATGTTAGCTTTTTTGTAGTTAAAATTGTTTTCCTTTTGAAAATTTTTTTATTCTTTTTTTAATGAACTGGAAACTTTAAAAGAGGAGTGGCTGGGTACAGCCAGCTCAACAAAGATGACGTTCATGCACCAGCCTGCAAATATGGACTATTAGCCATTCATGATAACTGATCAGGGGAAGATGTGGCCAGTGGCTTAACATCACTTTGATGGCAACATCAGTTGTGCTGAGGCTATCCTGTGTCTGTAACTTGTCTGAACTCAGGATCTTTAGGGTGAAGTTTAGAGTGAAAATACCATTGTTCAGCTGTAGGAAGCCGTGTGAAGAGTCATCTTTGTCTGAAATAACCCCATCTTGTGCTTGCAAACCCATCTCTTGAAGCTGGAAAGTCAGTTTCTCAGAAGGAAACTGTTAGGAGAGGAGGGGAAACTCCCCCCCCAGCTTGAGCCTGAAACCTTGATGGCAGCAGTAAGTGAAGGACAGGGATCCAGTACAGCATTCCGCAGCAACTCTGCAGCCTTGCCCAGTTCCGTAGAATTGGCAGAGAGCAAAAGTTTATCTGCTGTCTTTTTGAAGGAAAGCAGGGCACTGATACCTTTCCAAGAAATGCCCAAACCCCTCATTTAAACTGGAAATATTCCTTCGGGGTGGTGTTGGATGGAGCACTCTTGATTAGAGTGATTTTTAAAGTGCATTTTTCTAATCAACTCACTGTTACTATTAGAGCCTGGCCTTGCTGATGCTATCTACAAAATCGTTTGCAAACATGAAAGATGACTGAAGTCCTGAAAGACTTGAATGCTGCAGGAAGGGGTTGGAATGCAAAACAGAACAGTGAGGTGTGAGTGACACATCGACAAAGCATTCACTATTTCTTGCTAAACTTTCTTCCAACAACTTTCCTGCCCATCAGTTTGGCTAATTTCTTGCAGCTTAGTGTTAATGTGCCTTTGAAAAGGAAACCTTCATGCCAACAGGTAGAGGGACTGGAACAATTGCTTGGGTAAGGGCATCCCTTCTGTCCTCTGTCTTGGGAAGAAATGTAAACTAGTGTAAGAGAAGAGATGGATGGGGGCAAAGTGTTCTGTAGAGGGTAGTTTTAAAACCTGAATGAGGCAGAGACCTTTTTTTGAGCCAGAGCTGGGTCCTTTCATGGTTTAGTAATCAAAAGTCCTGGTTCCAAAGCAGACAGTAGTACATCTGCCGCTGACAATCTGCTCACTTGGCTGTCCATTCTGTAAGCCGTGGTATCTTGAAATTAAGAGTGCATGAGCAGAAGCTCTGCAATGCCCCTGCTCAGACCTGGGTTTGGCAAAAGAAGCTCTTGACAATGGGAACATCTTCAGCAAAGTGGTGACTGAAATTAATGCACCTGATGTGGTTATTTCTCTTGCCTCTATCAAAAGACACTGCAGTTATTAGGCAGTTAGGTAAGTTTTAAGGGTAAAAACAGTCTGCAGTGATGATGCTACTTTGTCTTTTAAATTTAGAGAGTTAGTGAGTAATTCTTTAGGGTTTCCCTGGTGATATTTGCTACCGAAGGTGTTGACTGTTACCCAGAAAGGTACTTGCAGTGTCAAGTTTTACTGTCTTCCAGAGGAACCTGCCCCTCTCCATTGAGGAATGGAGACTTAAGGCCATCTCATCCCTCTCTGCACTGAGATGATTTAAGAAAAAGTTTTGAGCCTCATTACCAAGTGATGGTATCTATAGCTATAATTTCGTCATAGTTAGAATCATAGAATGGTTTGGGTTGGAAGGGACCTTAAAAATCATCTAGTTCCACCCCCCCTGCCATGGGCAGGGACACCTTCCACTAGACCAGGTTGCTCATTCTGCCATCCAACCTGGCCTTGAACACTTCCAGGGACAGGACATCCACAACCTCTCTGGGCAACCTGTTCCAGTGTCTCACCACCCTCACAGTAAAGAACTTCTTCCTTACGTGTATAGAAAGTTAAGTAACGTTTGCTGTGTTAGTGTGTTAGCTTGTCCTTTACAGATACTCTTTACAGAGCACATTAAGTAAATAAATTATTGTAAAGGGTCTCCAGCCAGGAGGGGAGCATTCAGTAATCAGGTGAGATTCACATCGGACTGTGCTCACTGGTGTGCATGTTCTGCAGTGATGTTGCAGAGACCAGCTATTACAGCAAGAGCGATAGCATTGTCCTGTGATAAAGGTCCTGCATATGACCACCAAATAAACTGCAGTGCTGCCTCTGGGACCCAGCAGTGCTGTTTCTTAGCATGCCACAGTTGAGCAGAGGAGGAAGAGGCCTATAAATAGCAAGGAGTATGTGAGCTTCATCTCGGTGCCTGATTAACAATTACAGGAACTCCTTTTAATGCAGATCTCTGAGTCAGCCCTCTTCCTTTGGCTTCCTCTGTCAAACACTCCTTTGTTAGCTTTAAGTCCTTGATCACCAGGAGTTTGTACCTTTAAGAGGCTTGTGGTAAGTGATTACTAATAGTGGCACCAGATACTGATAACACAGTGGCGGGCGAGAACCACATTTCAACAGCTCAGAGATAGTCCTTCGAGTGCAAACAGAGCTGACTGTGAAGTTGTTAGAGAAGGAGGCACATATTGGCTCTCTGCTTCTTCCTTCAGTAAATCCAGCACACAGCTTTGTTTGTCCTCCAGAATTTGGTAATCTGCCTAGTCAGTGGCTCATGAAATTCCACTGCAGCAGAGAAAAGAAAATATTGCTATTCTAGTGAAGGAAAGTCAGATTTAGTATCTAGGCTGCCTCATCTAGAGATCTTTCATCAAGTGGAGATTTCAAGTAGCAAACAAAAGTGATAGTTCAGTGTCAACACAATGATCAGTGATGTCAAGGATGAGTTTGACTCCAGCTTTTTTTTTTCTTCTCCTCCTAGCTAAGAAAGTCTGAGACTGCTGCTGAAGCAAATACGTAGCCCCTTGCTTTCCCCTGATCTCTGATCAGCTCAGGAAACAATCCTGATGGATGCTGACAAAAGAAAATATAAGTACATGCTGCTTTGTGATCAGAGTGGGCATTGCCCTCTCACAGGCTTGGTTTAAAGTTTATAGTTAAGACAAGATACAGGAAGGAAATTTCTGAAGTGTTCTAGGGAATGGCAGTTTATTGGGTTCAAGCCTTTTGACTCAGCTTTTTGCCCCAAAGATGAGGGAGCTTATTTAGCTAGAATTTCTAATGTCATTACAGGGTGTAGCAGGTGCCTTTTTGGGACTGGAATAATGTTTGATGGAAAACTGGGTATTTCTAGTAATAGGCAGCATTCTTCAAAGATAAGCCAGATGTCTGTAAAGTATGGATGTTTGGGCAGGGGAGGGAGGTATTCTGTAGCAGTCTGAGCCAGGCTTCATTTTACTTAGGAGATCGGAGTTTTTTGCATAATAGTGAGAACCAAGCAACATGGGATTCAGACCTCTTTATTCATTTGTGCTCAGTAATTCTTGTGAATAATGCAACAGGCAAAGTAAACACCAATGATTCCCAAACTGCTGTATGTATCATTATGGCTATACATACTACTGCACTTCAAAGCAAGTAGCTACAAGTTGTGAGCCACCTTTTGCTGCTGATGAGCCCTGGGGGGAAAAAAAGGGTTTGTGGATCATGATGTAGAGCAGTATGATGTATAATCTGAGAACGGTCGTGTTGGAAATGCAGCATAAGTACCTCTTTATTTTAAAAGTAAAGTATTAAGAAGTAAGTTAGGAACTTCTTAATGTCCTTTCAAGGTTTTTCCACTTTATTTTGAAAGATTGTACTGTATTTAGGTAGTTTAGAACTAATGCTCCTATTGTCTTAACCGTAGAATATGGGCATGGTTGTCTCTTCAAGTGAGTCTCTTCACACAGGAACCTGCAAAAAAAAGAAAAATATATAAAATTAGCATCTGAATAGGAAATCTTTTTTTTTTTTCCTTATTGCAACAATATACAGGAACATTTTGCTGACTTTCTATGTTAACATTTTGTTGGTAGGCAGGTAGGTATTATAACATTAGACTACCTTCAAGTAGCTTACAGAAGTGCCTGTCAATGGGAGACAAACTGACAGAACAATTGCTTCAATCAGTGATTCTTTCAGTGATCCAAGCGATATCAGGTAGTGGATTAATGCACTTTGTTCTTTCCTTCCAACAGGAAGCCTAAAAAGGAAGAACATCTCAGTGAAGAGGCTGCCAAGGTGATTTCTAGCCTTCCTGACTTAACTTTCATGCATGCCAAGGTGTTGATGTTCCCAGCTACATTAACACCTTCAACAAGCTGCCAAGAAAAGGTAGACTAAAGTGATGTGAATTGGACATTTTCTATTGATTTTTTTTTTTCCTTCCCTCTGTGGGTCGTAAAAAGCAATCTTGCTTTAATTAAAAAAAAAATCAAGTTCAGATGATTTGTTGGTAAGCAGCACTAGAAAGGTATACATAGTAATGTATATTTATTTACATACTGGAGTCCTAAATTTATATTAGAGAAAAATGTAAATAATTGGGGGTAAATCTTTTTGAAGATCTATTCTTTTTGTTGTGCTGGGGTGTATACATTTATGTCTTTGTGAAATACACTGGTGGTGTCCTTCTTACAAAACTTTAAAAAGTTTAAAAAAAAAAAAATCTTAGAAACACATAATGAAAACTTCAATCTTCACAATCTGTGAAGTCCCCCTTAAAGGTTTTCAGATTGCATTGAGCATCTTTTTTGTTCCTGCATATATTAAAATACTTATTGCTGGGAAAAAGACCAAAAGGTTACATTGTCCCTTTATGGATTTTCAGTTACTGTTGTTTCTTTAAAACCCAATAATTTCTTTTGTGTTTTAACAAGCTTAAGATGTGTTTTTCCTTTTCTTCTCTTCCATCCCCTCCCCCTGTTTGATTGGTTGGCTGATGAATTTTTATGTTCTTCAACTTCAGTAGTACGGCTCTGTCACTATATAGCCTTTTGAAAGGTATGCTGTCTGTAACTTCTTGTTCCAGTTATGGATCACTGTCTAAACACTTGATTTTTTGGGTCATTAGAAAGTTGTCTGCTTTTAATCAGTTTGATTTGGAAAGAAGGACCAAAACTATATGAATGTCTTACAATGAAATTTACCTGTTAAAAATTTTTATGTTCTGTTGTACCACTATTCCTGTTTGATTTTGCACAGTGTAAAATGACATAATCATAGATTGCTATGGTTTTAGGCTGTATATACAGTAAAAAACTATGGGTTGTAAATGTTCGGGGAAATTCCTATGGAAAAAAGAGAGCTATGTAGAAGAACCTCTAAAAAGGTCAATGTGCATGCCCAAGGTCTTTTGAGATTTAAGTGTGTAAATTTCCTTTTAGCTTACACAAAATAAAATAATTTAAAAGATACATATGTATATAGTCTGCTGTCTTTTTACACAGAATGTATACATTATTCACATTTCTGTTGATGGTAAAATCGATGCACTGCATTAACAGTAGAACCTTCTAATTTGTGTTGCGCAGTCCCACAAAACTTACCTGTCAGGGTCCTGCAGAAGGAGAAGCAGACTTGACTTTAATTGTCCTGTCTCTTTTGAACATGTTGTGAGGTAGTCTTTTATTTCTGTCTCCAACTTGCCTTCTGGCTTGTAGGGCGATGTGGCTCAAGATGTGTCAGTATTTTGGGTTAGAGACTCCTTCAAAGTAATTGGCAATATTCAGCTGTAAGAAACACAAATTACAGTGAAGTGAGAAAGGACAACTGGTTTTGCTTATTTCTTAGCTGGAAATAAAAATGTAAATGTAGCATTCACTTAAGTTTCCTAACATGTTAGCTTGCACTGTAGCTCTTTCAGCAACATCTCTTCAGAGGATATCAGTGGACTGTCTGCAGGTAAGGCATGCTCTGGGTGCTGATATTTCTTGAGGGTGCTTTGCATGGGCATAGACTCCTCTATGTCTAACCTTTACTATGTGCACAGCTCTTTAAGTGCTCAGTAGTCACTGCCCGTTCATCACTTAACATCTAGTCCTGAGAGATCTCCAATGCATCTTCTAACCTTTTCTTTGAATTCTTTATCGTCTGACAGTGCTTGGGTCAGAAAAGTTAAAGTTTGAGTTTGATGTCATTAGCTGGTAAGTTGAAATGTCCTTGCAAAAGGAAGCTTTTTCCTTTTTTAAATCTCCTCGAGGGATGAGTGCTGGAGTTCCATCTTCGTGAATGCAGGAGTTTCAGTGAGTGCTGGCTACTCAGAATTGAGAGAGCAGCTCCTACGGTTGTGATAAAGTTAATTTGTAAAGGCTAAACTGGCTCCTTTGCCCTCTAATTAGTACTGCAGCATACAATGCTGTGGTATCAAACTGCACCCTGTTGTAGTTGAAAAGGTTTATGCAAAAGCCATCTGCTTTACCATGTAGCCCCAAAACCACTTCTGTTTGCTGCTTCTGCAGATTTTCATTACAGTACTGACTTCATGCCTGTTACATGTCAAAATTAGCTTTGCTAATCTCACAGGTTTAGCATAGTATTCTTTAGTGCATGCTTATTATATCATTCAGTTCTGGTGTTGGGCTGCTGTAGGTTAAAATCAGTCCTTTTGTTTTCATAACTGTGGTGTGTCCCTTGGAGCCAGAGTAGTGGTATAGCTGCAGCAGAGAGCTATAGCTATTGTTTCACGGAGAATATGTTTAGGAGCTGACTCATGATCCTTGTCTGGCAGCAAGTGGACTGAAGTATTAAGGAGAGGTGGGGGTGGAAGTGCCAGCTGCAAGTTGATCTTTAGTCTCCTCACAATTGCCTCTAGAGGCAGCTGCCCATTTGTCTTCCAGTCTCCAAGTGCAGTTCTGGTGGCCTGCCATAGATGGGGGAGGGGGAAGAAATGGCAGGGGGGAAAGGAGATTTCTATTGACTGATGTACCAATCTGAAACTTTGTGAAAACTGGTACTACCTAGAGTGCGCTTATGGGGTTTTTGTGTTCTTCCTGCCTCCCACCCCACCCCCCCAAGAAAAGAAAGAAAAAGTTGCATCCCACAGACCTTTACACTGCTGAAAGACATAAATCTTCCATCTAAATTCAGTCTTTTGATTGAGGTGGATGCTGCTTGCCTTAAAACGTAGCATTGCTTTTTGTCTCCTAGCTTAAGCCCCCTTCTTTCTTGTCAATTGTGGGATGGACAGACAGGCTCCTCTACCTCTCTCCTCCTGTCTTGTACAGGCAGCTTTGTTCTTACACAGAAAGTTTTGTTTAGGAGATCCAGCTGCATCAGGGTTGTCCTTCCATGCTGTTCCCATTGGCACGGCATGCCTTATCTAGTTTAATCTTGCTGGTAGGTTTATGGGCAGGATGGTAGTTGATACTTTCTGCACATACATGTTGCTGTGCATTGTCATCAGACGTGTCAATGTGTGTCACATTCACTCGAGAACGAGTGTCACTTAATAGCGAGGCGCTTCTATGCCCATCCAACAGAAGCAGCAGAGGACACTCAGTTCAGATGCAATTGCCTGAGCTGGAACATGGCCATGAAGCAAAGTCCAAAACTCCCACTGTGAGGCGAGCTGCAGGCCCCTGAATAACTGCTAAGAAGAGCTGGACTCTGCTTGTATTATCCAAAAGACTGCACTCTGACGCTCAGTGGTTCAGCGCTGACTTACCGGGAGCATTACCACCTGCTGCAGGTGTTAGCAGTGCTGTACTTCCCACAGCACTTGAAACGTTAAGACCTTCTCAGAATATCATTAGCTTGACAGATTCATTTTGAGATGCCAGAAATAAAGCTTACAAATAATGTACGTAGATGCCCTCAAATGCAGTTAGTGTGTACTGAAGTTAACCCTTCATCACATTGGATTGTTGTACAGAATTTATCTGGTAATGAAATCAGCATGTGGAAAGTTTTGTTGTTGGACTGCAGGACTGCTGCACTTGGGCTGAGTATCTAGTAGTCTTTATAGGATGCGAGGGATACTTAGCTCAGTGCATGTAAGATGGATCAGCACTGGCCCAATCGCTTGCATCTGGGTGCAGCTCTTTGTACCAGTTCTGCATCTCTGCATAATTATCTTTTTGATTTTACAGCAGTCTGAAAATACAGGATAGTTACAAAACACACTTGAATATATGTCCTGGTTTCAGCTGGGATAGAGTTAATTGTTTTCCTAGTAGCTGATACGGTGCTATGTTTTGAGTTCAGTATGTGAAGAATGTTGATAACACTGATGTTTTCAGTTGTTGCTCAGTAGTGTTTAGTCTAAAGTCAAGGATTTTTCAGCTTCTCATGCCCAGCCAGAGAGAAAGCCGGAGGGGCACAAGAAGTTGGCACAGGACACAGCCAGGGCACCTGACCCAAACTGGCCAACGGGGTATTCCATACCATGGGACGTCCCATCTAGTGTATAAACTGGGGGGAGTGGGGGCAGGGGATCGCCACTCGGGGACTAGCTGGGGGTCGGTCGGCAGGTGGTGAGCAATTGCACTGCACATCATTTGTACATTCCAATCCTTTCATTATTGCTGTTGTCATTTTGTTAGTGTTATCATTATTAGTTTCTTCTTTTCTGTTCTATTAAACCGTTCTTATCTCAACCCACGAGTTTTACTTCTTTTCCTGATTTTCTCCCCCATCCCACTGGATGGGGGGGAGTGAGTGAGCGGCTGCGTGGTGCTTAGTTGCTGGCTGGGGTTAAACCATGACAATATAATTTATAAAAGCATATGGCATCTAATAATTGCATAGCACCTGCTAGAAGTGTCTGCTACAAAAGCAGAGACATTTTTCATAATCTGGCCTCTGTGCCAAAGAGCACAGCCACTAAAGGCAGCAAGCAGCCTGGTCTGCTCCCTTAGGTGAACCTGGAACATGAAAGGAGATGGGGAGAAACAACACATTTGAATTTAGAGGGCTAAAAGCAAGGTGAGGAGGAGCTGGGAGAAAATATAAAGCAAGAGCTCAGGAGAAGCTCTGAGTAGGGGAAATAAGAAGGTGAAGCAGGACTTGGAGTGGAGGCAGCTGGGATGGCTGTAGGAAGAGCAGGTGGTGGAGAAAGTGGGATACAGGCATGAGGAGCAGGGGCATTTGGAGAGGAGAGAAGGCCTGGGATGGATTACAGGTGCCACACATGGTGCCCACTGGCTGCTTTTCTCTAAAATCTGGAACTGAGCCTCAGAGACCCAAATCTCTGTGTTACTATACTGCAGAGAAAATGTGTCAAACCCATTGCATGCATCGCAACAGCCTGCTATTGCTATCAATTATTTTTGGTAGTGAGCTGGACTGCAGATGTAAGGGGTTTAAATGCAGCTGCTGGTGCCTGTTTTAGCATT